GAGAGAGAGAGAGAGAGAGAGAGAGAGAGAGAGAGAGAGAGAGGAGAAGTTCGGCCATAGCTGCCCGCTGAGCCCTCCGGGATACGTGCGCTTCTGCAGCTGGTTTTCGATTTGTTCGGTGCAGGACGATCCCTCCATTTCTTTGCTCAGCTTCGGTCTCCATCACCACGTCTCACCACTTCTACGACCTGCTTCTTCTCCCACTTGCTACTCTACCCTCACGCTAAAATGTCTCCGAAGAATCGCGGTGCTGCCAAGGATCCTCACTCTTTGCTTGCTAAGTCTATCGAGGAGGAGGAATCTTTACGTTGGTGGATTGCCGAACTCAACGAGAAGCTGGTTAAGCTTCGCTCCCGTGGCTACGACGACACACACGTCCGATGGTTGCGTGTGGAGGAAAAGATTGACGAGGCTGAAGAAAAACGTCTGCGAGCCGCAAGCAGAGCTGAGAGGATGCGCAACATCATTGATGCCGGTGATATTGATAGCGATGCAGATTATCGTAGTGGAGATGAATGGATAGAAGAGCAAGAAGAGGCATCAGACTCTACCGATCGGTGGATACAGACTACGCTGACGCTGACGATGGCACAGATGTGAGCGACCTGGAAGCAGCGGTGGATACTGACTACGATGTGAGCGACCTGGAAGCAGCGGTGGATACAGACTACGCTGACGCTGACGATGGCACAGATGATGACAGCTCTTCTTACGACGATTCCACAGAGGAAGGAGATGGATCCACCAATGTCTGACCCTTTCGTCCCCAGTCTCACGTGCGTTGACCAGATGCTCGCCCGACCACTCCAGTGCAGCACTATTTAAGCGTTGACCTGGGCTGGTTGGCTATTCGCTCTTCTGCACCGTTCCTGGTTCTTGCGGCGCGCGTGAGGCCGACGGACGCTGTACTTGCGGTTTTCGCCGATGATCGACGCTGTAGACGCGGTGTTGGAACGTTGCCAGTGATACAGAGAGGAGACAGGGAGATGGAGTAGGGAGATGAGGACACTGCCATACGTGGCGGGCGTGGATGACGACAATGAGAGTATGAGGAGAGGAGAGGGAGAAAGAGAGGGAGAGGGGGAGACAGAGAGAGACAGAGGGAGAGAGGTTGAGAGAGAGAGAGAGAGAAGTTGAGAGAGAGA